ATGCGGACCTTTGTCAGCAAGGTGATGTCTCTGCTTTTTAAGATGCTGTCTAGGTTAGTCATCGCTTTCTTCCCAAGAAGCAGGCATCTTTTAATTGCGGGGCTGCTGTCAGCATCTGCAGTGATCATGGAGCCCAAGAAAGTAAAATCTGTCCCTGCCTCCATAGCTTCCCCTTCTATATGCCAGGAGGTGATGGGAACAGTGGCCATGATCTTAGTTTTTTTGATGTTGAGCTTCAGACCATTTTTTGCACTCTCCTCTTTCATCCTCATTAAGAGGTTCTTTAATTCCTCCTCAATTTCTGCCATCAGAGTGGTATCATCTGCATATCTGAAGTTGTTGATATTTCTTCCAGATATCTTAATTCTGGTTTAGGATTCCAGAATACATCAGCCTTTCGGATGATGTATTCTGCATATAAGTTAAATAAGCAGGGAGACAATATACAGCCTGGTTGTACTCCTTTCCCAATTTTGAACCAATGAGTTGTTCCATATCCAGTTCTAACTGTTGCTTCCTGTCCCACATAGTGATTTCTCAGGAGATAGATAAGGGGGGTCAGGCACTCCCATTTCTTTAAGAACTTGCCATAGTTTGTTGTGGTCCACACAGTCAAAGGCTTTTGCGTAATCAATGAAGGAGAATTGGGTTTTTTTTTTCTGGAACTCTGGCTTTCTCCATAATCCAGTGCATGCTAGCAATTTGGTCTCTAGTTCCTCTGCCCCTTCGAAATCTAGCTTGTACTTCTGAGAATTCTCAGTCCACATACTGCTGAAGCCTCCTTGTAGGATTTTACTAGTGTGTGAAATGAGTGCAATTGTACAGTAGTTGGAGCATTCTTTGGCACTGTCATTCTTTGGGATTGGGATGTAGCATCTTAACAGTATCATCCTTCAAGATTTTAAATAGTTCAGCTGGAATGCCATCACCTCTGCTGGCCTTGTTGTTAGCCAAGCTTTCTAAGGCCCACTTGACTTCACTCTCCAAGATGTCTGCCTCAAAGTCAGCAACCACATTTTCTGGGTTGTCCGGGATATCCAAATCTTTCTGGTATAATTCCTCTGTGTATTCTTGCCACCTCTTCTTGATGTCTTCTGTTTCTGTTAGGTCCATCCAATTTTTGTCCTTTATCATGTCCATCTTTGCACACAATGTTCCTTTAATATCTCCAATTTTCCTGAATTGATCTCTGGTTTTTCCTTTTCTCTTATTTTCCTCTATTTATTTGCATTGTTCATTTAATAAATCCCTCTTGTCTCTCCTTGTTGTTCTTTGGAAATCTGTGTTCCATTTTCTGTAACTTTCCCTATCTCCCTTGCATTTTGTTTCCCTTCTCTGCTATTTGTAAGGCCTCTTGACAGCCACTTTGCTTTCTTGCATTTCCTTTTCTTTGGGATGATTTTTGTTGCTGCCTCCTGTACAATGTTACAAGCATTCACCCATAGTTCTTCAGGCACTCTGTCCACCAAATCTAGTTCCTTAAATCTGTTCTTTACTTCTACTGTGTGAGGGATTTGGTTTAGATTATACCTGACTAGCCCAGTGGTTTTTCCTACTTTGTTCAGATTAAGCTTCAATTTTGCTATGAGAAGCTGATGATCAGAGCCACAATCAGTTCCAGGTCTTGTTTTTGCTGACTGTATAGAGCTTCTCCATCTTTGGCTGCAGCGAATATAATCAATCTGATTTTGGTATTGCCCATCTGGTGATTTCCACGTGTAGAGTCACCTCTTGTGTTGTTGGAAAAGAGTGTTTGTAATGACCAGCTTGTTCTCTTGACAAAATTCTATTAGCCGTTGC